AATAATAATAATAATAATAATAATAATAATAATAATAATAATAATAAGAAGGTAAGAGCCATTAGGTATGAGAAGTTTCTAGAAACAGGTAATACAAATTTGTATACCCGGTTGAAGACCTTGACTGAGAATGAAGACAGAAGAAAAAGGGCCCTGGAACCTCGAGTCTCCAATATTGATTGGATTCAGTCATTGAAGAAAGTTTGAAAATGTTGGATTTTTCATAAAGAGGTGGGAACTACCCAATCATTCAAACAAACCAAATTTGACTCTCTTTTTTTTTTTTAAATGGTTAGTTAAAATGGAAAATACATAATCAAATATTATTACATAATTAATTTTTTTTATTTCTCCCAATTATTTTCACCTGGATAGTATCAATCCAACAAGAAATTAAAAAAAAAAAATGGAAGTAGCAATAAAAAATATATATGTCAACCAAAATGATTCCTCGTATTCTCATACTTTTCAAATAAACATAGACAAGCTTATGGTCTTGTTGTACTACTAACGCTACTAAGGATATGTTTGGTTTGGAGGAAGTGTGATGAATTTTTAATTTATTATATTATAATATTTAAAATTATTATAATTTAATTAATTAATAAACTTACCTTCTTTTTTATTCTCATTAAACTAAACTTTCTTCGTTTTCATTCACTTAAACCAAATACACTCTAATTATAAAAATTGATCGAATCAAATACAAAACATGACATCTTATCTCATATATATTGGCTCTTTAATTTATTGGGGAATAATAATAAAATCACCTTATCATCTTCACATATGTGTTATTAGATTAATTTGTAGTTTGCACAAGCATACGTTCCAGTCATCTTTTTCTTTTTCTTCTTCTTCTATTTGTTGCAGCCTACGCAAGCATGATCTGATTTTTTTTTTTTTTAAATTATTTGTATAGCATCAAATGATACCATGAATAATGGTTGGCTTGGTAGCGACGACATTTTTTAAAATTTATTTTACCAACTAATAATACTATATATGATTTATATTTCAATAATAAAAATAAGTAAAAATAGTGTTAATTACTAAAAACAAAATAAATGAAAACAAAAACAGCAAAGTTATGTTAATATTATTGTTGGAATCCCATTCTGTGTTGAGTTTCTTCAATGCAAATTTTCAATGTTCAGTACATAAACGTTTTCATTATATTACTATAGGTTCCTTGAAGAAAAAAAAAATATATTTGTTCCTAGAAGAAAAAAATGGGTACCTGTCAATAAAAAATTTCTTACCTAGAATTTACGAAATAAGGTGGAGTCTCATTTCTTTGACTTTGAATTAATCTAGCTAGCTAGGTTACTTCTCCTCATATTACTCAAATTTAAAACAGTAATCTTATCAATGATCGTGACATCCAATGCCTAAAATTGATGAGTCTAAGTTAATTACTTCACCTAATATTACTCAAATTGAAAATATATAAATGCGTGTATGAATGGACTATGCATCAAATGATGTAATCTCATATTTTTTAAGTGGTAATCTCCGTCTATGATGTGGGAAATAGAAATGGCAATAAAATTGTTACATTGTGGTTACATAAACCAGAAAATTTTGAATAATTATTATTGAGAAACGGGTATCTTAATATTAAGGTAATTGTATCTTTCCTTTATAATTATAAAATATACATATTGTGTAAAATATATAAATGACTAAACCGCCATCTTAGTCATACCCACGGTAATTATTTTTTTCATTATTTATTTATTTATTTATTTTAAGAAGAAAAAAAGAAAAAAAAAAAAGAAATATATTACTGTTGAGTTGAGTGACTGTTACTATCTTATTAAGGTGTAATTCTCCCGTCCCTTTGAAGTTGGATCCAAGTCCCATGATACTTGTTAAAAAAAATAAAAAATAAAAGGAAAGGAAGACATACATAGTTTAACTTTGTGGTGTCAAAGGGACAGTGATGCTGTGCTTAGGCCAGCATTTCATGGGAAAGCACATTACCACGCATTGTGGGCATTGCATTATCAGCACGTCATTATTGAGAGGGTCCTCTCTACCTCGTCTTAATTTGTCGGAGTTTGATTAACTTCCTTCATTAAAAGCATCCCTTTAACTTTCACATGTAATTATTGTAAACTGATTACCCTTATCTCCGATCTTTCATTTTAAAGCCATATGGGACATAAAAATAATTACTATTAAGCTT